TGATTCTAAGCATTGAAACAGGCATTGAAACCAGAGGCGGACAACCAAAGAAAACTACAGGTTTTGCGGTTCCCCCATATTATGTAGACAAACCCAAATCATGACCCATGAACCCAATTTTGATCATATTGTCTTGTTTCATCTTGTTTCACTGGCTTGGGGCCCCCCATTTTGAGACATCCATGTGAGTAAGAGTAAGTCTTTACTATCTGCCGCAGCAAGGGGGGTGACATTGGGCACACTCGCTACTTCTCCAATTCGAAATGGGGCTACTTCCCGACTTCCCAAGTCAGCTGGGCACACAATGAATGTCTCATTGGAAAAAGATATCAAACAATGCGCAAACAAGCAATGTTTGTATGAGTGCTCTTTTAGGTGAGTTTGGTTAGAAATAGATGGCACTGGTTTAGATTGGCTTCATTGCATTTACCAGGGCCATCGATTTTTCCGATATGTCGCCTATGTAGCCCAGCCTATCCTCAAACATAACAAAATGGAGGAGACCCGGCTTGGAAACCCTTAAAACTCGCTATCGGGTCATGGTCATGGTTCTCTTAGAGCACTTTACATTGGTCCGCCGGTAAGGGTTGATGACCATCCCTGCCAAGCTCCGGTAAAGGATCGCATCTACCACCATGGCCTGCCCAACCTCCCGCGATCCTCAAATTAAGGGCACACGCCGTCCAGTGCTGGATGGTCCTGCGCAAAGAAGCAAACCACTTTGTCGGATGGGTGTGTGTCAAAATAGAAGAAAACCCAAAACTGCTTTCTTGTTGGCTCCCCTTAAACCAACCCGAGAAGGGTACCTCACACCACATTTCGAATTAAGTACCTATTTTGGAGCCCCAGAGGGTGGTTGACATTTGGGTATGATCAACTCCATCCATGCATGAAAGATCCTGCAGGCTCCGGGCAGCTGTTCTCTCCAGTTACGCGGCTATTCTTGCAATCGATCAATTGCTTGGCCATTATCTCAGCAGGATTCCTGGAATTACTGGAACTAAGGCTAAATGAGCGGCAACCACCCTTTGGAACGTTTGCTTCTGGTGGCTTCCCCTGCCCAAGAGTATGAAATCAACATGGTTTTCAATCGGTTTCACCATAACATGTTGACCCTAGAGAATAGGAAATCCATAAGTGTGTGTGTGTGGGTGGGTGGGTGGGTGGGCGGGTGGGTGGGTGGGTGCGTGCGTGTGCATGCTTGTTAGTGCGGGTTAGTGTGCGTTAGTGTGCGTTCGTGTGCGCTAATGTGCGCAGGTGCACATTGGTGTGCGTTGGTCTGCGTTGGTGTGGGTTGGTGTGCATTAGTGCGCGTCTGTGAGCGTTGTTGTGCGTTGGTGTGAGTTAGTGTGCGTTGGTGGGTTTGTGAGCCTTTGTAGGCGTTTGTGGGCGTTTGTGGGCGTTTGTGTGCGTTGGTGTGCGTTCGTGTGCGTTGGTGTGCGTTATTCTGATAATGTGCGCTTGTGGGCGTTTGTGGGCGTTTGTGGGCGTTTGTGTGCATTTGTGTGCACGTGTGTGCGTGTGTGCATTTGTGTGTGCATTTGTGTGTGCATTTGTGTGTGCATTTCTGTGTGCATTTGTGTGTGCATTTGTGTGTGCATTTGTGTGTGCATTTGTGTGTGCATTTGTGTGTGCATTTGTGTGTGCATTTGTGTGTGCATTTGTGTGTGCATTTGTGTGCGCATTTGTGTGTGCATTTGTGTGTGCATGTGTGTGTGTGTGTGCATTTGTGTGTGCATTTGTGTGTGCATTTGTGTGCGCATTTGTGTGCGCATTTGTGTGTGCATGTGTGTGTGTGTGTGTGTGTGGGTGTGTGTGTGTGTGTGTGTGTGTGTGTTTGTGTGTGTGTGTTTGTGTGTTTGTGTGTGTTTGTGTGGGTGTGTTTGTGCTTTGGGCGCCGCGTAAATTCACAAACACACGGCTGCTGCTTGGAGCCCGGAAAAGCCGCATCAAACCGCCCTAACGCCGACGGGAACGACTCGCTCCGAACAGCCGCCGTGGTAGAAGCGCACAAACTCCTGCGCAGAGTCCTCGGCATGGGCAAATTGGGTGAGACAAGACAAGCTTTAAACACAAAGAAAAACCAACCGAACCAACCAAGAGTAAACCGCCAAGAACTTTCCTTGGACATGGAGTTTCCCACATCAACCCTTGCCTCACTTCTGATCAAGTACGCTGGCCAAAATAGACTCAACTCTTTGACCTGCTACATTCGCACGAAGTATAAAGCCCAGAAACGAGAGAAGTGAGTCAAACATGGGAAACCACGTCCAAAACCCTGAGCAAGTCTTGGCCCACATCTGGGGCACACAGAAAAATCAAAACAAGAGCTTTCAAACCCTTACTAGGCACCCTCGTAACTGTTGTCTAACCTCCGAGTAAAGGGTCATGACCTGACCTACCAACTAAGGAAAGGGGTGGTCTGACCACATGTCAAAGCAAACCATGACCGGCTTTAGAGGTTCTTGCAGCATCCTGATCCCGTCCTAAAGCGCGTTGAGCGAAAGTCTGTGGACGAGTCTTCCCGTGGGAAATCCCTATGTCACAAACCAGTTTCCCACGGAAAGGAGCAAATGGGATTCCCAAAGATTTGCTTATCACATGTACTCCCCTGCAGATTGACACAACTTTCTTTACTATCCAATGTTCCTCAGCACATGCCCTTCATGGGTCTCAGGAAACCAGCCGGTGAACAAACTTTGCTTCCCACAATGAAAAAGCCCGGCGCCAAAGGACTCTACAAGTCGTAGGAATCAAAAGGGCGGTACCCAATGTTGGGATTGCCCCTCGCTAGCCTTCACTTGCTTGGGTTTGATGGTGGCTACTGTCTCAACATTGGGTACACCTCAAAAAATGGCGAGCGTTCTTTTTGGTCTGCCTTCAGCCAGCCAACCCGGGTGTTCCCCAAAAAACGAACCACCATATAAACAACCTGACAACCACAAGAATATCAACAACCCCACACCTCAAACAAGGAACCTCCACTAAGGCTGGCCGGCGGCTGTTTTGTAGAGCCCTATGTGTTCCCAAGGACAACAAGGTATGCTGCTTGGGGCCAAGGGCAAAACAAATAGGTCCCAAGAAACGCCAACTGAGGGTAGCGCCATGTTGCAGTCCTTGATCACCTGAATCCGTTGTCGCATGACATGTGGCAGGAGCCCGCTGGTTCCTTGGTTCAAAGTGGGCCGATTGCTTCTTAGTGGTTCGTTGATTGGCCAAAAGTGAAACTGTTTGCGGGATATGGACATGTTCAATAGGCCCGAGCCGTTCCCCCCAGAAAAACAAAACGGATCCAGTGTCCAAAGTACGTCACCGTACATAGGAGGTATGTTGGATCTCCCCAAATTCCTCCCTAACTTCCTAAGCATCGTGTTCCTAAAGTTCATGCACGGTGTTCCCTGTTCGAAATGGCCCACAAGATCCTTGTCGTTTTCTAACGATTTCATTCAGGGGGCATGATCTTGTGCGAGTACCCTGTGGCTTGCCCGGGTTTTGGAAACACCGAATACTAAATGCAGCAGAGGTAGCTTTGGCGATTGCTCTGCGTTTTCCCCGCGAAATGACTCTGCACAAATTCAGAGGTGTCGGCCGCGGAAGTACAACCTTAACGCCACTAATATTCTTCCCAAACCCGCAGCGGATTTCCATGAGGCGAAAGGGCACCCGTGTTGTTGCTTGACCTAAAGGGAACCCGCCCTCAAAGAGAGAAAGACAAAAGCAACGCTGGAGGTCTGGTCATCTGAAAACCTGCCCTCAATTGCACGGCAGTGCTCTCAGCCGGAGCCGACCGCCTTCCCAACTCAGTCAAGTTTCACAGAGGCTTCCATGTGCTTGAGGCGCCACAAAACAAGAATCCCACGTTCCCTCTCAGTCATGACTGGTTCCACCTGTGACGAAAAGCGGGAAACCAATTCAGCAGCTCAAAAGGTGAGACTCTGATTCTCAATCCATTCCTACGGAAAAGGCCCCAACCCCTCAAACGGCCCCATGGAACCTACGAGTCGCCAGGCCAAAGGCTCTGGGCATACGTTGGGATTGGGGAAGCTGCCCCAAACTGGGCTCCTTTTGTGCCGCATTCCAACATCACCCAATTGCTGCTGAGGAAACGTTGAAGGGACGTTCAACCACCGAAGCTCATGTTAAGGTTTCCCAACTTGGTTCAGTGGCTATGAAATTGCGGTTGGTGGACGTAAATCCTAACCCAAATGGTGTCCACCAAGGGGTCCCCAAGGGGTCCCGAATTTAATTTATCATACCTTGAACCGTGGGAGCCATGCGGCACCATTTCTGCCAGGAGAGATGACAACAGGATTGCCATCAACTCCGTCTCCCCGTTGGTCCCGTTCTGGGTGGCGCTGATGGAGCACCGCTGGTTCGGGACCCGCACACCCTGAATTGATTCGACTCAACTGCGCTGCCCTCAGATCCCCCGCTAAAAGTTTTGTGGGTGGGTTAAAGGGAAACTACCACTAAACACTAAAAGGCAAAAAAGAAATAAGGGGATGGCTGAGAGCCACCAAGTCAACAGGACCCAATTTGAAGCCCCTAGTTACAGTCGGACAGAGCTGGGCGGATCTTGCCTGCTTCCACATCTCCAGGTACTGGGGCACCATCGCGACCTGCAAGTACCTGAAACGGATCCAAGGTGACATCCTCAAAATAATCCAACTATTGGTCCACCTTCAACCCAAGACCTAGCATTTGGATCGGTCCTTTGTTTAGCTGTAAGATATTGTCTGATTATGCTTCAGAGTCAGTCTACCATGGTTCGGAGGAGCAGAAGCACCCGCCCTTGCTTACTTCTTGGAAGATGAACCGCATTCCAATGTCAACTGTCAACGCGCCCAGTCAACTGTCGCCAAACTCGGTTGATGTTTCTGCCTTGTCTACAGTCTTTGAAAGTGATTGGAACATCTGTGTTACAACAAGTAATGGCGGCTTTTGAACATTGAACAAAAAACCTTCTGAACACCCAGTTGTAACCCCCGCGAGCGTGCAATTTAACATGAGGTTGGAAGTTGGAGCTGTTTGGCGCCTTGGTCCATGGCCTTGTGAGTCCTTAAGGCCTTCTGATTCCGAAGCCTCAGAAGCTGCCCCATCAGCTCCTTCTTTTTCGCCAAGGAGGCGTAGCCGGGGCCGCTTGCTCGTGTTTGGCGGTGGCTGTGCTCTCTCGTCGACTCGCAGCTGAGTATCCGCTTGTACCCTGTGCCGCCGGTGACGCGCCGCAACTGCCAACCGCGTTCCAGCCAACAGGTTGCCGTTGCTGGAGAGATTCAAGCTGCGGCAACCCCCGAAACCAGCGGTTGGCAGGACCACCCCCTTTCTTTGGTTGACAGAAAAAAGAGAAACCCCTCCACAACACAAACAAACAAACAAACAAAAACAGGCCAAAGAAAATGGACGCCGGCCGCCTTCTTGATCCTTCTTGGGTGGGCTTTGAGTCGCTCGCTCGCGATCTGAGGAGCTGGCTCGAAGCCTGGGTTCGGCTCCTTGAGCAAGCCACCCAACAACACGCGCGGATGAACAACACACGGGTGGCTCGACTTCTTTTTAGCAATCGGACACTCCAAAATTGTGAGTTGCTTTTGGGGCTTTCCTCTAAAACCGCCAAAAATGGGGGTACTCTCAAAACGACATCCTAAAATAACCTTGTTGGTATCCCTTTGGACTCTTCATAGAGAACCCAGGAGACGAGAAACATGTTGCCCGACTCTGGTACGCATGTGGATGAACAGATTCCACCACTTGGGATTGGCGGTTTATCCATGTTTTTCCCAGTACTTCCAACTGGTCCTGGATTTCGTCCAGCACCTCCAAAAGCACCAAGAACTCAAGCTGCAAACACTGCATCCAGGTAAGCTGAAAGCAGGTCCGTAGGTCTTTCCTTGGAACGTCATGTTATCTCGATGTGAGTAGAAGGGGGGATAGGCCTCAGGAATGCCCAAGGATTCTGAACTGCACACTTACAGGTTTCCAGCCCATTTGGGTATGTCTCGAACAGGCATTTGGAACCCCCCAAATAGTGTTTTTCCTTTTCGGTGTCCTTTTAAACCACACGGACTGAGTGGCCCGCCCAATCCGGTGCGAGGCCCTTCTTGACCGCGCGCCACTCCTGCCAGCCACGAGGGGGATGTTCCCCAAACACCCGCGGTCACAGGTGTCCTTTGGAGGCCAGTTTGGCTAGACATATGCCACGGCCATTCATCATTCAATGTTCTCAAAAGGACACCGATGCACCTATGCCCGCATTTTTGTTTTGCTTTGGACATGGCTTGTTCTTAGGTTGAACGGTCTTTCCAATACTGATTCAGAGCCCATTCGCAAGGGGAGCCATGAGATCATTTCCCCCTGTCCATTCCCACTGTATTTCCAACACAGGGGCCAAATTCTCAATACCAAAACCATCTGGACAAATTCGCCTCGGCCCCAAAGGGGCCAAGGGCGCTCAGATCTCTTCTCCACCAACCAAAATTTTGCCGGCCCCCAACCCATGTCGGCTGGCCCAAAATCCTGCCCGGCGGGCCTTGAAATTTTCGGGGTTCGTCGGCGTCCAGCTCCATGGGTCCATTTTTGTCGGACAATTGCGAAAATCAATAAAAAATGCTTTTTTGTCCTGAGAAGCATGACCTCCTGCTGGCCAGGCCTGTCTAACGTGTCTGAGACTGGCCTCAGGCCAACGACCACAGCTCAGCCCAGGCCAACCTCCTGCTTGCGTCTGGCCCCAAGCCACCCAGCAGGCCCAGTCTGACACTAGTCTCAAAGTATGCCAGCCTGAGACTAGCCTCAGGCCCAGTCCCTCAGCCCGCCTGATGCCGGCTGGGCAGGTGGGTTGCTAATTGGGCTGGGCCTGGGGCTGGTCTCAGCCACGAGGCGGGTGGGTTGCTGGCTGCCGGACTACGCTGCTGGCTGCGCCTGGAACTTGGGCTGGGCGGGCTGGGCTGACACGTAAGACACGCCAGCAGGCGGGCTGAGGGACTGGGCCTAAGGCTAGTCTCAGGCTGGCATACTGTGAGACCAGTCTCAGACTGCGCCGAAGGGGCTGGGGCTGCTGGATGACTTGGGGCCAGACGCAAGCAGGAGGTCAAGGCCTGGCCAGCCTGGGCTGAGCTGCTTGGGCAGTCGGACTGAGGGGCTGGGGCACGTCAGACAGGCTTAGTAGCTGGGACACGTTGGCCTGAGGCCTGACCTTGGCACGCTGGGCTGAGCCTGCTGGTGGGCTGGGAGCTGGGGGCGGCCTCGTGGCTGGCATGCCTGAGATGCGCCGGGGCCTGGGCTGGGCAGGGTGGGTTGCTGGCTGCCGGCAGCCGGGCCTGTTTCATACACACTTGGGCCTGAGGCTGGGTGGCGAGTTGCTGGCTGGGCTGGGCCTGCTCGCAGCCCACCAGCAGGCTCAGCCCAGCGTGCCAAGGTCAGGTTTGTCTAACGTGCCTGAGACTGGCCTCAGGCCAACGACCAGTCTCACGTGTCTGAGACTGGTCTCAAGCTACGCCAGCTACCAAGCCTGTCTGACGTGCCCCAGCCCAAGTCATCCAGCAGGCCCAGCCCCTTCCGCGTCTCAAGGTATGCCAGCCTGAGACTAGCCTCAGGCCCAGTCCCTCAGCCCGCCTGCTGGCGTGTCTATTGGGGATATTTTTCCGGGGTACTTAAGCAAATGGAGGTTTGTATTCCCACCATGTACCTGTCTTGGGCTGAGCAACCGAGCAAGAAATGTATGTCATGGCAAGCCGCCAGCCACGTGAAATGGAGGTGCCCAAACACCCAAAGTTGGTCTTGGTTGTTCAGTGACACAAATTATTGTTCCCCTTTTTATGGAGGCCAAGCCCCACTAAAAATGCTCATCCCCAGAAAGAGGTCCTTTTTTTTCCAAGGGCACTGAGCAGCTGAGATAGTCTGGGTTTTGGATTTAAAACCTTCCGAGCAGGACGGCTTCCGAACATCGAACTAGCACGGGCGAACTGGTGCGGTCACAAGCTTTCAGTAGGATTCGGACCTTCCCAACACTGGATTTCGGTGTTCCTGACCCTTCCCTCAAACTAGGCTGGGCCGAGGCGGGCAACGCGAAGCGTTTACAATTACAATTCATAAAACCGGAAAAAAGGAGTCCCCCAAGTAGTGGGTCTTCATGGATGTGCTCATTGTACCCTAGGGATCGGTGAGCTCGACATTTGTGCACAGCCATCGAACTCTGCCATAGACTAAATGCAACTATGAATCCCGTGAAAAACCAAGTTTGTCAGTTGATGAACATTTAATTATGCCTTAATTCTGGGAAGCTAGCCTCCCAAGGGGCCCAAAATGGCTATGGGGAAACTACTTCCCTGAAGGTAAGCAAGCAAACTTGAACAACGAAAAGGAGAATGGTTGGTGGGCAAGTGGTCCCGAGACCCACTGGCATGGACATGCCGCTTTGAGATTTCTGGCTCTTCCTTCCCAGCTCCCGACGCATCGACCATCCGGAGCGGTCCGCCGCGTTCTCGAAGTCCGGGTGAACCTACGGGAGAAATCAATCCAGCTGCAAACTGACCCAGCAAATATCCCCTTTGTTTAAGGGTATCATGTCAACCCCTGTGGAAACCCTGGACTTCCCGAAAATACATCAACAAAGCAGGTACTTGGAGTAGGTCCCCCTGAAAGCATCCTGCAAACACGCAAAACTCTGCACCCAACCGTATTTGCCCAATTCGTCTCCTGATAAACAGAGAGTCGCAACATCTGAAGGGTCTGGAGGGGATTGTGGAACTGTTTGTGGGGCCAGTGAGTTGTGGGATATGATTCCCACTTTTGTAAGACCATAGCGACACCACTGATCTTCAAGAGAGTTGTGGCTCAACTGACCCTGTGCTTGCAGGTCCACATTATAGTAGGTAACTAGGGGTAACCACAAGTTACAAACTAAAGGCAAGCTCTTGCAGCCACCACGTATGTATGTATGTATGTATGTATGTATGTATGTATGCATGTAAGTATACTGTATGTATATTGCATGCATGTAGGCACGCACGCGCTCAGTAGCATGGGGATTCCCAAGTAAAGGCGCTACATCACGAATGTTCGCTCGTTTTACCCCCATCTTCCCAACTATATATCTGTTTAGCTCTTTCACCCCGAGAAAAATGTTCATAATTTTGTAGTTGCCATAGAAATTCCATTTTCCAATAAGTCTCTTTGGGGCGATTTGGTCACACCAAAGAAGTGCCATGATGGTATAACGTCCAGGAACCAAGCGCTCCCTGCATTTCCACTGGGAACATCACCTCAAAAGGCAGCTTACTTCCTTTTTTGTCAAATTTTAGGGGAAATATGGTTGTCGCTTGGGAAAACTACGGAACCCTCAAACACGCGGTTGCCTTTTGTCCGCTCAGGGGTGACCAGAAGCCTAGGAGTCTGCGCCTGGAACCTCACGGTGAGGCGTTCCTCGCTGCCTGAAAGCGATCGATCGATCTGCGAGGAGACGTGCGTTGATCATGGAACATACAAAAGCAAAAAGACACAAGAATGGCTGCACAAAGAGAACAAAAGGATCAACAGAAAAAGGGAGAACGGCCGAGGAAGTACTGGCGTGTCCTGCATAACTTCTCTGACTCCAAGGAAACATATGCCCTTCACAGTTTCCCCGGCAACCATTCTCTCTCCTCTGGCAGCCTGCGCTGGCATGCAGAATCCTTTTGGTCAAAAGTGATCTCTGCTGAACATGGAACCTCAACTTGGGGCATCCGAACGGAGACTCCAGTGAGCCCTCGGCCAGTTGCACTTCCGTGGCCAAGAAAAGTCCAAACGTTTTTGCCACCAAAGTGGTCTTCTCCCAAAAATCTAAAGCCTAGGAACTCGGGAAGTGAGCTCCCAATATTGCGCTCCAAAGCTTCCAGCTGTAGGAAGAGTGACGTCAAAAAAGCGACTCAGCACTCGGGCCACTCCCAAGCAGTCCCAGAATGCCCCGGAACGCCACAGAAAAGCCCGGCACTTCGCCCGGCACTTCGACAGCGTCCCTGTGATCTACTTCAACGAGGAATCCTATGCCTTGGGGCATCTTTTCGCGAGGTACTGTGAAGACTCCCGTTGCCTTCCGGGAGTCAATCTGGACTGAGCCCTGCGGTCTTCCCGATCCCTGTCAGAACAAGCTGATTGCAGCCGTACACATAAATCAACCAAACAACAAAGATACACAAATAAATGAATTATAAAATGATAATTACGCAAAATAACTAACGAGCAAATAAACAACTAAATCACATAGTGGAATTCCATGTACCGCTACAGGTCACCAGCCATCCCTTAGCTTTCAAAGGTCTGGGGTGGCTGTTGACTGCGTCGTACCTCAGAACCTCATCTTGATGCCCAAAGCCCTGCTAGTACGTCCCAGTTCCACTCTCGGAAGCCTTTATCATGTTTCTGGTTCTCTGTAATTATTGCCAACCAGAAGCCAGCCAAGAACAGCCGATAACCTCATGTCAATTCCTAATACACAGTTTAGCTCGCGTAGTTGCACTTTCACAACTGGGGACGGCAAGGCCTCCATTATGAAAGCCCGCCTCATGCACGCAAGGCTGCACCAGGCCCAAACCTGCATACCAAGAAAACACAATATTCAGGCTATTGTCCATGCTTAGCCTACTATTGGGGCCAAACATAATTGGAATGGGGAGACTTCACTGTTGCAGTAACTATTGCTAATCGTCTGACCCCTTGTATTACCCTGAAGCACAAGGTGATTGTGCACAACCAGGAGCCTCACACCTCGAATTGATTTCTCGCCTGCAGCACGGGAGGCGTCAATGCGGATCTCCTGACCAGAACAGCAACTGTTGATGGAAATATTTGCACGGGATTCCCGATTTGACTCCCTCAGGGTTCCCTATACTTCACTTAAAAAGTCACCTTGACCCACAAAACTCACCGTAAATGGGCCAAGAAGGCGATTAGACAACAAATGAGGGGCTCTTCTGGTAGAACATCCACCAATAGGGAATTATAGGGACCCCTGTTGCATGCAGAATGTTTGAGGGAGTTCTCCACAGAATATGAACCCGTGGCCACTTCGAGTTTACAAGTGGCAACAAACAAAAGGCACCCTTGCTGGTAGTTGACTTGCAAGGTAAACCCTTGAAAGAAACGAAATAAAAAGTACACGGGTGGCTGGGTTCCTATCTTGAACCATCAAGGATAACAATCCAATCACACGCACAAAGGCGTAACACGCCTAAGAGATGTGTAGCGGCCAAAGGCAAGTTGCATGAATCGGACAAAAAAAACAAGTGCTCAAAGCACAGCAGTCTGGATAAGAGGACGCACACAGTGCCGCTACTGTAAATTGTAGGGATCTTCTTTGGATGGCTCAAACCATTTCTGGTGAATCGACGGCAAACATGCAAACAGCACATTTGTCGATACGTACCTCTTTTTTACACCAAAGCACAATATTTCCACCAGGGTCAAAGGACGTGTTGTTGAACACCCCTAAATGTAACCAAAGCGACACCGGGTTTTCCATACAGTTGCATCTTGCTGCTGGCTTCCAACGAAACTTCCAGTTGCGCATGAATTTGAAAGGAGACAGCTTGTACGTGATTGGTGGGGATTCATGTCCACCAACTACTTGAGGTGCCGAAGTTAAACTCATAGCCACTTATCAGATTCCCTCCAAGTGGTGGGTTTGTTTGGTGAATTAGCAAATCCGACCACCAATCCCCACCCCTGAACTTAGGTCCAAACAAGTTGGAAGACCTCCATTTATGTTTTCCGTCTTCTGGAACAAATCAGAAAGATCGATTCCAACCAAAAGGCCAACAAGGGTAAACAACCCAAAATGTCGTATGAGAATGGAGGATAAGTCGACCGCATATCAACGGCGAGGCAAATGCCAGGTCCTTGATGAAGGTCAGAGGGATTCGGAACTTCACCAGGTTTGAGTCCGCTTCCTGCCGCAAATCCATGTACGCGAGGGACACGATTTGTTTTACCCCATTCTTTTGGAGTCGTGATGTATCGTGGGAAACAATGGGCACCTTGGATTTTGGCACTTGAAGGGCACTGGAAGTTCGGAATCCCAAGAAACCCGAGTTCCGACCAAGTCGATAGTTCTTGATCAAAACAGTCCGTCGTCCAGAACACTGCCAATCGTCAACCAGGACACGGATAGTCCGAGGGTACAAAATGGCAAGACCTGTGTCAGGTTCCCAAAACCGGACTGAGTCTCGGAAGACCTGGTCCGTCGCTGTGACATAGTTTAAAGGGGCATGAATGCTCTGGAGAGTGTAAGGGATCCGCTGGACAGTCGATTGAGAAGAGCATGATGTTGGAATTGGAACATCATGGCATTCGAAGCGGGTCATGATTCAAAGTCATCGAAGTCGCTCTTGGCAATAAATTGCGTGCTGGAAACTACTTGCTTCTGAGACCTCAGTGTCAAAAAGCACAACTGGGTTTCCACCAGTGCAAACAAGCGGAAACTGTCAAATTCATGAGTCGAGCAATGACACAGGCATGCAGTCCTGCAAAACACGGTGTAAATTAGTTGGCAACTTGTTTGGCATCGTAGATGGCCCGCGTTGGCCCTCTAATATGGCAAGATTGTGCTCGATTGTGCTCGCAGGCAGGTTGACTTGTATGTCGCCTGATGCCGGAAACTTGGTCTTTGGTTTGGACGGCCTCGTGTTGGCCAGTACAGGATCAGTCTTGGCTTGTCACTTGGTAATGTAAAGGCTATGGGCTAACCACGTTCCCATGGAAAAAGTGGCTTGACACCAACTGGATTCCTCAAGCCTTGGAAGACCCCATGGTTGTTTTGGAAGACCGGACACCAACGTAACAGCACAAAACACATCCACAAGTAACCAGCTGAAAACAGCAACCCTACCTCCCAATATGTTTTCCGTGACTTTGCGTTTAGTCGCATTTTCGCGAAGCTAGGTACTTGGGGGTTCCAGACATGGTATATAAGTTGTAACAGAACTAAGCCTTGTCATCCATAACCATTGATACAACACTTGAACCCAGTATTCAGCCCTGCCCATTTGGGTCTCGGATTCTCTGATGCGGTGGTCTCGAAAGAGTCCGGGCTGTGAAGCTGCGGTGTCCTCGATCGTGTCGCCAGCCATGGGGATAAGCTCAAAGAGGGAGATGCCCCCGCTCATTTGCACCTAAGTTTTTTTCCATGGGAAACAACTGCTGCTGTGACACCAAAGTAAGGAGGTTCCTTTATCACAGAAAATATCCCTCACACATGTTTCCACAATCACCTTTTCAGCGAAAGGTCTCCTCCAGCAACCCCCACCGACTGTCGGACAGCACTTGGGGTTTTGGACATGGAAGCCGTTGGGCGCTGGACGCGGAAAATGGGGCCACTAACACCTACAATACTGTGCATATATGTATTTATTTATACATAGTTATTTGTATATACTAAATATATGTATATTATATTCTATAGTCGCTGTATGAAGGGAATCAACCCTGTTCTAATTTGCCCGAAAGGCTTCAATGCCTAGCAAAAGGTTCAAAAGCCAAACACTCAACTACCATGCCTGGCACCCCCAGCATCCCCCAGCAAACGCAAGTAAGAATTCCTTACCCGCGGCGCAGGTGGGCGTTCCAAGAGAAGCTGGGTTGCTTAGGAATCTGCAACCAGGGGGAGCATTTTGCAATTATCGTTGCACAACAATTCAGAACAAAGCTCCGTGATTGAAAATGCCAGCCTGAAAGCGTCCCTAATTTCAGACCCCCAACTCAGGAAGCACTCATGTCTCCCCCTAAATCTGCACTCTTACCGGGAAAGCTTGTGTAATTTGGGCAAACCAATGGATACTTGAACCTCTTCCCAGTTGCCCGTTAGTCTGGAACGCCAAAGGGATGATTTAGAGGATGACACTGAATTGGGACCCAAAAACGGGGAATGTCATCATCTGAAATACAAAAAAACAACAAAAACGGCTGAACAAATATATCCCAAGCGGAGGACCGACATCACACTTTCTGAGTAAATTGCCCCCAAAAGTCTGAACTGTGTGTTTACCACTAAAATCGTCCTCCAAAAAACTTATAATTCCAGACCCTGGGGGCAAGTGAAACGTCATAACTCATAACCTTGTTTTACCCCGGGAGCCCAGGCGTCACTGCTCCCAAGTTACGGGTGTTGAGAAGAGGAGGCGAACAAAGTCTGGGCCTAGTCATTTTGGGCCACTCAGATCGCGCAAAGGATGGCACCCGGGAAAATGACACATGGTCTAACAACAGGCCAGCTGGAAATGAGGGCAACAAGTCCCGTAGGCTCGCGGGGTGCAGCAGCAAAAAGCAACAACTTAGACACATGCCTGGCTAGCATTCTTCTACGAAACTTGACCCTTCTTGGTGTGTGATTTGTTACTCGCTTCTTTGCTTCCGCGTTTCTCTCTTTTTCGTGTGCGTTGCGTAGGAAAAAAGAAAACCATATTTCGATTGGGAGAGGAAAAGTCAGGGGCACCATATTTTGCTCCGGGGCACCCAAGAGCACCTGGTCGTTTCTGCTGGCGTCCTCGCCCAAACGCTGCCATCGCTTAGCCGTGGGCCAGGACTCGATAAACCTGCCGCCACCATCCACGATATTCTGGAGCACCTCCTGCCCGTGAGCGACCTGAACTTCAGCCTGACGGGCCCTCTCGTCTGCAGCGGCCCTCGCGTCTGCAAGGGCCTTCGCCTTGATTCAGTCGAAATCCTTAGCAATCTCAGCTATTGCCTACCCGACAAACATATGGTGAACATGGTCAAGATTCAAATGAACCTAAAAAGCAAGAATTCAAGAAAAACAAGACCACAGTATCGATGTTCATGGGGTTGCTCCTTGCGTGGTATAGTGTCCTGTTGAGTTCCGTCTGAAATCACCCCAAACGGGTACCCTCAACTACTCACACAAACCCAAACACGATCACAAACACCAAATCGCAAAGACAGAATCACAAGCACACAATCAAAAACACAGAGTTGTTGAAGCCCAATTGGGTCTGTCCTTTTTGGAGGGAACCCCGCAATATGTGTGGTAATCCTCTGGTATGCCTTCAAACAATATTCGCTGAGCGACCGCCGTCCGCCTCACCGCTCCGATTGGGTGGCCCGGCGTCCAACTTGGAGAAGATGGCCTCAGACCTGGCCGTAGGCCGTAGCAGAGGGTATTGTTGTGTAAGGAACTCTTTTTTGGTTGGCCTTGAGGCAACACCAAAGAAGGAAAACCGTCTTCCTTCTCTGTCTGTTTGTGGGGGAAGGGGTCCCCTGAAAAACGCACACACACACACACACTATGGGCTTGTAGTTTTAACTACAAGGATGGATGTTGTTTTTCTTGGGCTTCCTCTTGAAACCAACCAAAAGGGCTTGTAGTTTTAACTACAAGGATGGATGCTGTTTTTTTGGGCTTCCTCTTGAAACCAACCAAAAGGGGGGTTCCTTCATGTGTCAATGTGCGCGAGGTTCTGGGGATGGACCTGTGGAAGCGTGTCATGTTTGCACCCACCATTGGTGTCAATCACGGGATTCCCAAATCAGAAATCCGTGAAGCCCCACAGAACCTTCACGGGAGTTCGATCGATTCACTCTGGGATCGGTGAGCGAGCCATATATATATAGACATGCATTATACATTTGCACAGAGGCATATGTTTGTTATGCATATAGGCACAGACCGTGCATTGTACACACATGTCCGGTTTGACTAGACACAAGCCGTTCCTTCGCAGTAGTGGCCTGATTGAGGTCGCCAGACCTCCGCCGGATTTCCATGGGACTAGCAGGCACCTTTATTTGCTGGCAGTTGCCTTGAAGAAGACACCGCCTCCGAACAAGAATAGCGGGCAGCACTGGAGGTCTCGGCTGGATTCGAAGACGATTTCGAGGATGCAATAGCCCTAGCCATCCTTCAGGAGGTAAGTTGTTGCACGTTGAGGCTTGTTCAGCTCAAACCTCTTGAACCCAGCAACATGCAGCTACTTGGCGGAATCCAAATCCAAATTCGATGTTGGGACCTTTCTGGGCGTTTCAGGAGAGTTGCCCAATCTGAACCCATTCTCCCTGTTGGTAAACCGCAAACGGGACCCCTGTCAGAACTGCGACAGTCGCCCCTCACTATCTGGATTCCTGTGAATACGCCTGACGCAATACCTGATCGAATCTCCTTGTCCTATGATTTAGAAACAGTATTGGCATAGCTCGAAGCGTCGTCCTACACCAGAACGAGCTGAACACCAGAAACAAAACAAAGTTGCCCCAGCATGGAGTGCTCTACCGAAAGACTTGGCCTTGAAACCTTGTCTCTAGTTGAATGTGTTGTACATATTGTACATAGGTACAATGCATTCATGGTATGTATGTATGTATGTACGTACGTACGTATGTATACAGATATATATATATATATATATTACATAGGTATGTAGGTATGTGGGTATGTGGGTATGTATGTAGGGGTGTATGTAGGTATGTATGTAAGTAGGCATGTAAGTAGGTATGTGGATATGTATGCATGTAGGCAAATAGGTAGGTATGCACAGTGTTTGTTTCCATAGCATGTATGCATGTATGCATACAGTGTGCATGCATGCATGTACGTACGTACATATGTATGATACGTATGTGGTGTCCGTGTTCTTTCGGGCAAAAGACACACTGGCTTTGTTTAGAGTGTTTTGTGCTATGCAAACACCGTCTTCTGTGGGTCCAAATTTGCAAACCTGCCTCTATTGTCAGAATAATTTGTTGCAAACAAGCTGCAAGCCATGTTGTTGAAGTTCTGACCAGTTTTGCTACAGGAAAAAGACGCCTGACACATTTTGCAAGGGCAACCCAGCTTTTGCTATCAGGCAGTCCAAAATGGATCACCCGGCAACTGGGAAAAAACCGGAAGCCTCCCCTCCAGATCTTGATTCCCTAATGAAGGAGCGAGACAATTAAGCACATTGACATGGTCTTATGATCACCACTTCCGGTTTTAAGGTACTCCACAGATCCTCCACAAATATGTTCCACGTATTGAGGCCCTTGCAGGAAGGGAAATTCTTAGGAACAGGTTGAAGGACAACCTTAATGGAACATTTCCACCCGTGTTTCTGACTGTGGCCCGGCGATCGCGCACCTGGCGTGGAGGTCCATCGGCTCCTCCGCCACCGAGCGCATCATCCTGATTGATCCGTGGGTTTGTGAATCCAGTCGGGAAACGATGCCCTTTGAAACCATGAAGAAAACTGCCGCTTCATCTCGAATTAGGGTACTCACACATCAGCCTTGTCCAAACTTGTTGAACACATAATTCGTACCCAGACACTGAGAACGGGTCCGGTGTGGGCCCAGGCAATGATCCCTCCGTCGCATTTTGCCCAGTGAGAGTTCCATGAATCCCAGGGGTGTACCGCCCAGCTCCCCAGCGGTCTTCTGCTGATTGTTGAAGCGCGACAGCAGAAGCTTGGAGTCTCTCACGAACTCCTCACAGCTTCGAGCGCTTCGCGCGAATCGGCGAGGTGCGTGCTTCGAACATGGCCCCTAAATTAGGTTGGTTCGGTTCAACTAAAACCCGCAGCCGTACTTGCTCAAATAGGCCGGCAGAGCAGGGTGCGATTCAATGTGTTGTTTAAGTATACTCAACATACTAGTGTTTAAACACTATCCTGGCAGTTTCCCTTTCAAAGAAGATGTTTAATCGAGCAACCACTGGCTCCCCTTAGCAGGGGAAACCAGTTGCCAACAGGAGATTGTTTAAACGATGGTTTAAACTTAAAGGTTGGCCAAAATGAACAGAAGCTTCCAGCTGAGTCATTATGTGTGTTTCCTTTACCGAGAACATGCCTGATTCGTGTCGAAGGCCAAATCGGCAAGCCAAGGCGCCATCAAATCGGTTGCCAAAGAAATTGCAACAGAGACCAATTGCCAAGCAAGTTGCCAAGCCACAAACGAGACTCACAATAAGTCTGATGAAGAAGTTGCTTGATATGGCAATTGAACACCCGCAGCCCGGGGGGCTGTCTTGGGGGAGCGGGTCCTGGCAAACAAAGGGCTGTGTGTGTGTGTGGGTGTCCTGTGCTTGGTTAGTGTGCCTTTGGAGCGCTTGCTGTCTCTCTGGACACTCTAGTTTTGTTGTGGGCAATGCTCAACACCAAACAGGATTGAATATGTGTGACTATGTGAGTACAAAACAAACTTGCTAGATGCTCCTCCTCACATCGACGACCAACCAACACTGGGCCACTTTTACGCTAAATCCCAAGCTTCTGAAACACCAAAATCACTAGAACCATCTCGTTTCAAGTCTCATTTTAGGATGTACTTCTGATGTTCTGGGGATTTTTCCGAGGAACGGGGCTGAATGAACATGTCCCTTCAAAGAACATTGCCCAAAAATGAAACTCCGTTCAACATTGGCAGACAAAGGAGGACAAGGGGCAACGGAATCCTACTCTTGATTGGCCCGTTTTCTAAATGGGTGGGCACCAACAAAAGAAATGTACACATCCAGGCTGCCCAGTTTCCCAATTGACCATGATGTTCTTCAAATGTAACTCTAAGGGCACCGTGGATTCCGCGGTGTGCCTCCAAGAGATTCGGCAAAAAGTGCTCCAACTGATTGCAGGAAGTCGAACCACGGCAAACATCCAAAACTTGGGGGTCGAAAGGAAGGCAGTGACACCCTTCAAATGGGCATATGTCATAGTTTGTGGAGCCCAAAATGGTGGTCTTCCTTTTGGTTTCCCTCTGAAAATGGTACCATCCAACAATCAACCTTCAAGCCCAACCCTAGGATTCAAATATATTAGTATTGTTCAACATTTAAGCCAAGCAAAGAACTCGCAGATGCTACCAACCCAGGCCACCGGTGAGGAAGCTCCTCCTTTGAAAGCTCAAAGCCCTCGCTGAGGTCCGCCCAACTGGCCAAAAGGATCGACATGAGACAAAATCAAACCTCAAATGTGCTCAGATGGGGATCATGCTTCAGACATTGGCCAAACATGCACAGTTGTTTTGTGAGTTCCCAAATGAGGTACAATGAAAACCATGTATGAAAGTGGTCTACCATGACCATGCGAGGAATAAACAGAGCGGTCGCACTTGCTTAGGTCTGGGTTCGTACCGACTCAGTTGCCACTAAGATAATATTCCGGAAAACATGGCAATCGTATGGCTAACTTAGCCCTTATAACTATGGTTCTTTTCTACATACCAAGTTGGTTGCACCTATCTTCTCTATTCATCGTCTTTACCTCCAAATAAAGGGGGAGAAAAAAAAGATCAAAAAAAAGATGAATACAATTATTTGTCAATGTTGGCTTCTAAATGATGGGCGAAGGTGTTAATCAAGAGATACGCCAACCAAGGAATCCATCTCTTGTCATCGCTCTCTTCCCATGCTGTGTTAGGTACAGAAAAGTCATATTGACCGGAGTATGAATCAGGAAGTTCATGACTGACAAGGACGCAATCTCAAGAATCTCGTGCTGGGACTGAACTCCAGACAAAGCGAGCGATAGAAATTTATCTGCATCCGCCATCTCTTCTCTGCTCCTGTTGAAAGGAGACGGCGAGATGAGAGAGGATTAAGGCTGGTCTCTTCTTCCTTTTTCCCTGCTTGCGATGCCCGCGAACGAAAGGAGACGACAAGACACAGCTAAAAGAGAGAGAGAGAGAGAGAGAGAAGATGGGAGTCCAGGAACTAGCCCATCTTTGATAACTCCATCATCCATATTTCCTATGTCGACATTTGCTTTTGAAAGAAAATAACTTCTGACGCAGGTCAAGCAGCGATAGAGGTAGTTGGGGATTGAACGCTAAGGGTGTCGACTGTACCTCCCTGACTTGCAATGGCCGACACCGCAATTGTAATATGGGGATGTATCAAAACCGGGGGAACCCAATTTGAAAATGAGTGGTTTCCTGTTGGTTTCCTGTTGGTTTCTCCTTACGAACAACCCAAAAAAGCTACTGAATCGCAAAACACACGCACACCCACCACACACCAATTGAATTCTCCTGGAGGGAGTTTTCCTGGGAGGGAACAGTTGCAACCTTCGTTTCAGCGTGTCAGGCCCTCCTGGAATCCTGCAGCAGAATTCCAAAGATATAAAACGGAAGCCAAAGGAAAACTAACTTTCCGGACTGACAGACGTCCTTTTGGTTGGTAGGGACACCAAAAGGACAGCCACCATTTACGGGACCATTTTGAGCCAGAGGCTCCTTGAACAGATTTGGTTTGCTCGTGATGTTGCTCCTATTTGTTTTCCGGGACCCTCACAAGGGTGGTTTCCATTTGGTTTCCAATTGCCCCCACTCCATGATTTCGCCGTTTGCTTAAAATCACCGACTCCACATTGAGCCGAAGTCACCTCTTTTTGGCAACCACTTTTTGAAATCGTCCCAAGGTTCCCAGGTTCTTTGGGCAAGGGAGACTAAGGCACGTGATCATTTCTTCCCCGCAAACCACGGATCCCGATCGAAAGGCTGAAGCTTATTGCGAGCTCGCCTAGGGGTTTCACCGAGCTCACCCATGATTGTCCGTTTCTGATGGATTACCCCATTCGGATTGTGAAATTACAATAATTAGTGTAGAACTTGCTTTACTTTGAAGAGTGAGCAACATGTGCCGTGGAATTTGGGTGTGTGCTATTTTGAGCATGTGTCCGGCCCCCCCTGTTTGACACTGGCACATACCCGGTTAGTGCACGCGTCCTTTCGGGGTCAAATGAGACCTTTTGGCTTCCAATATATAATCATTTTGCTTTCCTTAATATACTCAGCTGCCCACTCATCGGTTTGTTGGATTGGTGATTTGGTTTGGATTGGCGGTCAGGGGTTCAAATCCAAATCCAAATCCAACTACCGACCAAGGCTAAGGTTTACAAAAAATACCGCGTTTCATTGTGAGAAGCGCCAAAACAATTCTCTCAGGTCCCGGCAAGTGTTCCACCTCCCGGTACTTGGGGTGCGCATTGAGGAAGGCGCAGAACTCCTCCAAATTGAGGACCGCCAGTTTTCGTCTTGCCCATTTGGGTATTGGGTCAAAACCAATGGTACCATTTTGAAGTAGGTGCACCAACCATTTTAGTCTATTTTGGTGGGAATTGGGATGTTCACTGGGGGTACGGGCTTTTGACCCATGGCCATTGTTTATTGGGTCAAAATTGAACCACCGGGGATTGGACCGGAGGTGTTAGTCCTTTCCAGGGCAACCCATTCTGGGTACCCCTTTTTGACCCGCAGCCATTTACCAGGGTAACCCATTTTGGGCTTCATATTGTTGATTGCCGGACCCATATCGGCAAAGAGGAAGTCACGGGTTGCTTATCGTAAAGGGCTCAAACCAAACCGCTCGGCAACCCTTTGGTTCAGTTAAACGGGAAGTCAGGAAATCCGAAGTCCATTTCGTGGGTCTCCTAAAAAGGAACCACACTCATGTTAAAACCAGCTTCCCAAATTGGCTCGGCCAGACACTGGAGGTCTTGGAAGCGGTGGTTGTTCTGATGGCACAACAAAGGCTCCGAGAAAGAGATGTCCTGTACAAATTCGGAATTCGTCTGGGGAGTACATACTGTGGATGGATGAAATCCAGCACCACTGTCAAACCATGGGAACCCATTGTTTGCTTGTATTTACAGGGGAATAATCATTCCAGGGGTTTCTTAGGTGGTGCAGGATTTCGTCCATCCACAGTAGGAGGGTCTTTCTGACCATGCCATTTCTTCGAGCCTTTGAGGAGACTCCAGGGATTTGAACCATGATTCCAGGATTTTACGACCGAGCTAATTCCTGTCATCCGGGTCTGTATCATATACACCCAGCTCTAGAAAAGACATCTTCTCCGAAAGTTTCCCTTCCCGTAAATAACCGTAGTACCCCATTCACTTCGGAAGCTTCACCTTGGGTCCACCGGGACCGACTCAAAGGCAGCTTGTTTTCTCTGTGAGAGAAAGTCTGATTCCGCGAATCTCAGTGTTCCTGCTGTCTGAAGGAACATTAGAGGGTCGAGCGGTCGCCATTGCAAAGGTGGGGCTCTTCCAGCGGCAAGCAGCCAAAGGAGGGAATACCTCAAACAATGCCACGTACAGGGACAAAAGGAGTAAGTCTGCAGGATTAAGGACAGGACTTCCGGTGTATATATATATATATATTTGTTTATCCGCCGATAACAGACGGCGTGCTGGACATAAGAAATGCTTCTTACCTCTTTACCGTCTTTACCTATTACCCCTCCCCTTACCCCTCCCCAGGGGCACGGTTTCTAACTTAGGATGCATCCTGCTTTTTCAAGGGCTGTGCGGGGGACGCCACGCAGCTAAACAAATCCATACCCTAAAAAAAGGACATGGGCTTTCCCAAGTCGCACTCCCTGAGAGGGCTGATTTCTTGTGGTTTCCTTATATCCAAACAGGAGGCCAACGAGTTCTTCTGCTCAAAACAACAACCCCAAAGCAATTCCCCTTAAAACTGGCGAGAAACAGGTGGTAAATCCATCCAGGAGAACATCAAACCGACCAACCAACCTACCTACCCACCAACTAATCTCATTGGACCCTTGAGTCACCCAACCAGCCAGCCCGCCCACCTCAAGCGAACTGCGCCCGCCTTCAACTTGGGGTTGGTCTCTTTACCCTCGTCCATAATCTTCGCCAGGTGAAGAACTTCCTGGCCAAACGCGCCGAAAGCCAGAAAAACCAGGAGCGCGAAACCAAAACCGTGCTTTGAACGCGCGGCGGGGCCCAAGTTTGCGACCTTGAAAGCCAAATGGACAACTTGTGGCCTGTTTTGAGCAGGATCGGTGGGCCCCTGCGTGTCAGAGCAAAACAAACCCTAAGGTTCGCGACTGTTTGGTTGAATTGCATCTTCACAAAGCCATTTCTGGGCACAAGGGACAGGGGCCAAAGGCACAAGTTCGAAGGCATCCCAACTTGTGACTTTAACGCCACAAACCCTCAGAGTTGGGGACCCAGCTAGGGAACCAAAAAGGAAGCGCAGCAGCTCAACGTGGGTAGCCCATTCTTTTGTACCCATGAAACACTTATTGGGGGCCCACCAAACCAGGCGCAACTTTGTAGCATGGAGGACGCGGAAATTCCGAAAACCAGCACGCACAAATGAACGTCTTGTAGGTCTGGTTGCTTGACGTTTGGGCAAGTAAGTTTGACATTCAGTTGGCACCTTTGCAGCTAAAGGCTGTCAGGGGCGGGGCCTTCATTTCCCTGATGTGACGAGGCAAGACGGTCAGGCTGCTTCAATCTGAGGCCCGAGGCAAAGGAAACAGCAGATAAGGTGGGAACCTTGACGCAAACTGGGCCTGATTCGAAACCCGCATCAACATATCCTTTGCCCAGCAGGTGGCTTCAGGGTGCAAATGGGGTGTCCAAACAAATTGCCGCGACCCCCCCCCGTTTCATTGGGTGGTGTTGCAAGAAACAAAACAGACGGCAGCACGTGGGAACCTTTCAAAAAAGGACACAAGCTCAACTTCTGGTTGAGGTCATGTTACGTTGGCTTCCCTTTCCCGACAAAATAAACCAGGCCACGTTTGACAACCCGTTTTAGTCCGGCAAACGAGGGTGTTTGTAGTTACCGCCAATGCCTGGATTGATTAACATCCCGTGGTCGATGTCCAAATAAGATTGATGTTCTTGGAGAATGAGACCTCTAGCGAAGTTGTTGATTTTCAGCCACTTGATTCATTGGAAGATCCCCTTTCCCTTGACTTACTCAGAAGATCCCGGTGGCAACCTCAGTTGCACGCGAGGCGGCCTAGGGTTTTGGATACCTGATGGTTTCTGAGCTCATGCCTCGCGGCAGGGATCCCTTGAATATGTCCAACTCATTGCATGTCGGGAAATCGGCTTTCAATGGACATGGAAATCCCATGAATCTGCTCTAAAGAGAAACATACGGACATCATTTGCCCAGAAATCCAAACAACATTGTATAAAAATAACACTTCTGGGCCAGGGTTTGTGTTTTTAGACAAGGTTCGGATCTTTGTTTGATCGAACGTCGAAACCCAAGGCATGAGTCTGTTCAAAACAAAGCCGCCATGACACTTTGAACATTTCCGTCCAGCTTGCTCTGTTGTCTGTTTGGCACTTAACCCCTCCCTTACCTTCATGAACCCGATGTGAACAACACATACATTTAAACCGCCACCACTTGTTGGACAAGTTGTGTGGCTCCTTTATCTTCTACAAACCCCTTGTTTGTGCCAAACAAGATGTTTGGTCCATATGCATGCGACTTTTTGACGACCCATCCTGGGCCAGACTCAAAAAAAACACGTTGCGACGTCGCGGTTTCGCAGCGAGGGCCTCCACCTCGAGTTGGCCATCCTAAGAGCAGTCGACGTGTGTTTCTCAGGGACCATTGGTTGGAAGTAAGCCGGATGCCAAAATGGGATTCCCATCTCTATGAACAAAAGTATCACTCTACAGATAACCCATGCCCCAACTTTCCGCCACAAGGAGCTGTCCAAACGTGCCTGGAGTCTTCAGAACAGGGTTGGCCCATCTGAACGTGTTCAAACCACCATTGTCTAATAATGGTCATCTGGGTTTCCTTTTAAAAGGATCATGGTTTGCTTGTTGAAACAAGACTGCCCAGCCATGACTTCGATACCTTTCAAAAATGGATGAACATGCTACAAGTGTAAAGTCTTCAAGACGCTTTACACATTTGGGTTGCCATGAATATATCATCCCTCTTTTCTCACTCTGGTGCCGCCTCGCCGCCTTTCCAAAAGCGCCCCTGGCTTGACAGTCACTCCCAGTTCGACTGGAAGAAACAGATAACTTGTGCCTTTCTTTAAAAGACATGAAAGTGGGTCATATGGATTCAGCCGCTGCAAATAGCAAGCTGGACACAAGCGCCCATTTCAAAAACAACAACAACACAATCCAACTGGTCACCAGCTACACTTCTCGTGCGTGGATTGGCCCAAAACGTCCTCACTTTTTGGTGGCCACCAGAATGGTTTTCCCAAACAGGATAGTCCACGAAGTCATCAAGTTGATCACTGGTAAGCTTCCAAAGGGTGGGGTCCATACTTCAAGGTACCTCAAGGCGGGAGTGACAAAAAAAGGCCTGACCACTGGCAAGGGCCCCAAGACCTTGACTTTGCTCGAATCTGGGCCCACCGACCCCATCGTGGTCCAAGCAGTCCATGATCTCTTGGCACAGCTGCTCCAGCACTTCCAACTGGCGAATCGATTGTAAAGAATCAGGTAGACCCAACCAGGGGTTAGCACGTTTGGAGACTTCCAAAATGGGTGGGTGGCAATTAGGATTCTATGTGCGGCTACTAACAACTGTATCTATTCATTCATGTTTCTCTTTCATCATGTCTTTATTAATTTATATTTGTATGCTCTTTCGTTTGTTCGCTCGTTCTTTCTTTCCAGGCCTCTGGGCGTCTATTGCGCGGGCCTGTTGACCCGCTCAGGGGCCATGGATCGGATTCACAAATACACCTGCGATCACCCAGCCGTAGGGGGTCATGCAGGCCGAAGGGGCCTCGGCTGCGGAACAAAGGCCGTAGGCTTCGAGCGCCTTCGTCGACACAAAAGTTGAGGAAGGCGCCAAAGCGCCGGTCCTGTGGTTGGGTGCCCTTGTCAGGAGCCTTGCAAGTGGCAAGGGGGGAACGCCAAGATTTGCAGTGACTGCTATAAGTAACCAATACATCTAAGAAACCAGGCACGGGCAAGTCTAAAGAAAATTACTTTTTGTGGCGGGTGTTCAGCCAATTTCCTGTAGAAATTCCAACATCATGAAGCAACCTAGGTTCAAAAAGTCCTGGATACCGGGCCGTGCGACGTGCATATACAGATATATGATGTGTATACATATATATATATATATAGACATATCATGGTAACAATCATGGAACCAGGTTGGATAGAATTGCCACACAAAAAAGCAAGGGCCTCAAGAAAGAACACTCCACATGCGCGGTCGCAAAGCACTCTCGGAATGCAAGCAGGCAAACGGGTTTCGGAAGACTACTGTCTCCTCGCGGCAAAATTGTCATTGTGTGACATTTGAGAGCGGAAAAATATCCTTTTGTTTTGTACGGGCTGTTCTGAGTTGTTGTCTAAATCATCTCCATTTCCTTGGACATTGTATAATCCGCAAAACCTTGCGAGCTCCCAAGTGGGCGGGGGGTGCGAGCAGTCTCAACTTCCAAATGCCTCCGCGTGCTGAAGCGTCACGAATGAGTTTCTAAGCTTTGACTTACGATGGCTTCCGCGTGGCATACGTGCATTCAGTGATGGGTCGAATTGTGCGCGAGTGGGTTGCGTTTGTCAAGCGCGACGCGCAAGATGCAGAGCTTTGAACACCTGGAACGCCTTTGCCTCTAGCGACAAACCTCATCTTCCCTGGAAGCAGATGCAGTGCGAGAGGACGATTGGCTCTGCCGCGGGGCTTCCGCGAAGCTTCTGCAAAAAAACCTGTCATGTGTTGGTGGCTCCGGCTTCCTTGGCACAATGCCGCAATTTGCTTCTAACTGTCCTAACTTGAAAACTGGACAGGTTGAAGACGCTCTCCAAAAGCCGTGCGCGGAGCTTCTGCAGAAGAATCTGCTGAACGACTCTCCGCGGGCAAAACCCGCGTGGGCTGTGCAGGTTTTTCGGCAGAATGGGCGTTAGAAAGCTCATTTTAGCCCTCGGTTCCAAACACCCTGTTGCAAACAGTGACACTAGTAGAAAAAGAGTTGGACCCCGTTTGGGTTGATCTCCTGTTTATCCGGTTCCTTTTTTGAGCAAAAGGTCTACTCCCTTGCAGGCTTGACGACATAGCACTTTGTTTCCAAGGTCTAAGGGCTGAGGTCACGCCCAGGACCAGCCTCCTTGACCGCTTCTTTCAAGTACTTCTTCATGATCTTCTCTTCTTTATTCGCCTCGCTCCTTGGACACAAACCGAGCAGGCTGCAAGCCCCTCCCTGGAAACTGGTTGCCCAACGGCCGCCCGAATGCGGTGCGTGCCCTACGTGTTGCAAATGGGCCACCCGCCCCAAACCTGAAAATGTATGATCCTGACAAGGTGGAAAAAACAACGACCCCCTCGCGGGGGTTGGCAGACAAAACAACACTTGTTGGGCTTCTGCAAAAGGAATGTCGAAGGGAAACCAGCATGTTTTTCGAGGTAAGACACACACACACACACAGCTATTTCAAACGGCCTTAAAAAGGGCCAAGGGCATGTTTTTTTCATCCGCAATTGGACGTCTAAGGCTCCCTGAAACACATACCCCCTAACCCCAAGGAAAAAGCAAACTCCATCCAGGGCTACCTTTTCTTGACAGCGAAGGGTCCAAATGGGCGTTCCGCCCAAATTTCGTCAACGCTCAAACACAGGATTTCATTCCTTCCGGCATTCATCATCTCAGTCAAGGGCTACAAGGGAACATGTAAGATTTCAAGGGCTACAAGGTAAGATGTCGCCAAACGTTAACCCAGCAAAGGAGGCGTCTCAAGATGGCTGGATGCTTCTGATTTCCCCCCTTGGAGTAAAAACGCGAGGCAAACTTGATTCCCTCGGTCGGCTCATGCTGAGCCTTGTGATTCTTCAACAAAGCTCCTGGCGTTTTCAATCCTACACTAGGTGCAAGTGAGCAAACTTGAGCCAAAATTGCAAAGGCCACTTAACAATCGTCGTGTACGCGCCAAAATGCGGGGAGCGCCCCAAATTCCCCTCGGTTTACATTTACAAACGGCGCCCCTCAAAAGACGGAAACCCACAACCTTCGGGGCCCAGCACAAACAAGGCTGTGATGCATTGAGGGTACCCTTCACAGCTTGGCTTCAAAGGAAAACCAGAAGGAAGAGAGTCATCTTTCAGCCTTCCGCTTCCGGGCCGCATTTTCCAGGGATACACATACCTTTAGAACCTTCAATATCAATAGAACTGCTGTCAAGTTCAAGTGCTTGTGCGGCTTTTTCCAACTCCACCAAAGAAGCACACTTGGCGTGTAAACATCTATAGAACTTGAAATTCAGGCTGCGCCAAGGGTTCCTTATTAGACCACTGTGGATACTCACGGGCGAAGGCTCTGCTTGTGACAGCGAAGCGTTCACTACCAACAACATCCCACGCGGTTTCACACTGGTTGCACTCTGATCCCTGGCAGTTCCATACTTGGCAGTATTTGTTTTTGTTTGTTGCGGCGGGCATTGTCTTGGCCGCTGCCATATCCTTGCAAACTGGGTTCGGCAAAATCTCGGAGAGCATCAAAGACAAACACGGCTGCTGCATGAGGGCTCCCAAAAACCTAGGGATGGGTCCAAACCGGAAATCCAAACCGGGTCCCGGGGCCCCGCGCCCACCCATGGACATGGCAGCGGTCACCGAGGTGGAGGTTTTCTCGTGAGCCCTGGGCCGCGTGGCGCTTCAGAAAGCAAATCGGCCCCGTTACTCTACAAGGGTAACGGCTTGATAATTGTCTTTGTCACCGGTCAACCGCGCCGTGAGTCAAAGACTTGCTTTCTGTCAAATACCAAGCTTTGTTGGCCCAGCCCATCCGCGTGACGTTAGTTCCCAGGTCTTCAGGCCGCGCTTGGCAACGCGGCGCTAGGGCCATGGCGGTTTGGGACACCAGACCCCAGTGGATCCGATCGGCAAAGACCAGCCATTCATCTCGCTCCGTGTTCCACGACCTAAAGTTATTCCACGAGATGTGGGACAGAGGAATAACCATCATCAGCTTGCAAATGAGATTATGAAAGCAAATAGCGGGTGATGAGAGGGAGAGGATTGGAAAGCCAACAAAATGCTAATAAATACTAGTAAATGAGATTATTGGTTATCCTATCGTCTACAAATGAAGGTTAGATGGGGGAAGGAATGTCTCTTTTCATCACGTGTGCTCACCATTGACAAGTTACCGCAAGCGAAGGCAGCGGTTGGGTGAGCGGATGAAGAGAGGGTCATGTTTCCTGATCTCAGCAATAGAATGGTTGGGTGTGAGGGTGTGGAAATGAGACGTCACATGCTAGAAACCTAAGGACTGATGACGCCCGACCCGGATACTCGTCTTTTCAGTAGTCTTACCGCTGCTGGGGCTAGATTTCATGGTCACTTTCCTTGCAACTCAAAGGCCATTCTCGCTGGAGAGGCTCGGGAAAGAACAGAAGGCACGTGGATCCTTTTCCAACGACTGGGATACCAGTTCATCTTTTCCTTTCCTTTCGAACATCATAATTTTACGGCTATCGTCTCCGACGAATCAACTCTCCAACAGAGCGAAGAAGGGGAGGAAAACATTGGCTGTTCCATCGCGAGTCTTTCATGGTGACAGGAACTCGACTCCAAACGGAAGAACGGAGTGATAGAGCTTGAGAAACAAACCCAGTTTTGTGACTCACGGTCTTCTCTGTTTCATATGCATGAGTTTATCTCCTTTTCACACATTGTCTTGGTGCTTGCTTGGAGGTGTGCTCAAGAGAAATCTCGATAACGCAGTTGGTTAAGATACTGGAACAAAAGACTGATTAAAAGTGAAAAGCAATAATGAAAACAAAGATATATGAGCCAATATGGCTACTTGCTTGTGAAGAATGCCAAACACCTTTTACCCAGGTTTTATCGATCTGCCTTTGTGAGACTCACTAAATCCCCCCCAAGCGTTGGGCCAGTTCTCTGTTTATACATGGTTGGACCACTGTTGCATAAGCACGTTCCTTTTGTGTTTCTTGTTGGTTGGGCCACTGTAAGCGTTGGTTTCCCAACAGCGACAGCAGGGTCGGTTTACAGCCCAACAGCAGCAACCGAATAATCCCGGGTGGCTTGGAGGGCTACCGGAAAAGGAAACCAAAAAAGGAACCCAAAGAAGACAAGGCAATGTGGGTGGCTCCTCTTTTCTTGGACCTTGTGGTTTCCGCCCCAAAAAACAACAACACGGAAAACTGGGTAGCCTCGAACAAAAAAAAACAACTCACACACACACTTGTTTGTTGATTATGCGCATCGGCTGAAACTCTGCAAATGGTCATACTCCCTAGGAACTGTTAAACCCAGAGAAGTACCTGGAGTCTCCATGACCCCTAAGTATGCGGTCGTGCATGGCTTCATGACACCCAAATTTTGGAAAAATGACCACATTGTCTAAGGGTCTTGAAGACTCTAGTTACGTCGTCAGGGCTGAGTTCTTACTCACCTTTAATGACTAGACAAACATTCTAAAAGCAATCCAGAAAGACTCCAACCAAAAAAGCACTGGAGGTCTGCGGCCGCTTCACTGGCAATTTTGCCCCGGCTTTCGGCGCTCGAGGCGCGGGCATTGGGGGGCCATCCTTGGTGCCAGCTTTCTTCGCCTAGCGATGGGGTAGTTGAACTCAGCGCTGCAAACATAAAACTGCCACCCCGAGCACACCAGCCCCAACACACACCACCCGTTTTGCTTTATGTTGGACCGCCCCAACAAAAACCAGTTGCTGGGGGGCGGGGATTTGGGGGTCCCCAAGAGGAGCGTGATACAAATGAAATGGCAGAGTACGCGAGGGAAACCAGGTTTCCACAAGCCAGCACAACACAAACGGGCATTTGGAGTAAGGGCTACCCATAGAATGACACCCCAAACACCTTCTCAACTTTTTACAGTTCAAACTTGTTTGCCATTCAACCCCTTTTCAAAAGCTAGAGAGAAAATCCAATTGGTTACCTGCTTTAGTGGTCTGCCTGGAATGGACTAGGCTTGACTGATGAAGAAACCGGCCAACAGTTTCAAGTCTGCTGGAAAAACAAACATAACACAGGATCTAAGGGCTCCAGCCAGGCAAACATCTTGGCTTGGCTTTGATGTCGGGTCAAAGCTGATGGCCGGTTCCCTTAAAGGGAGTGAAACGGCGCCACCCATGCCGCCGATGGATTAGTGGGATACCAACAACTGGGGACGCTATTTTTTAACAACCCATGCGCACGTACAGAACATTGCAACGTTCGCAAATCGGTCCGCCGGCATCAGATGCCTGAAGCTCTGAAAAGTGGTTGGGGTTCTTTTCGGACGGTTTCGGACACGGATGTTTGCCAACGTAGGTTTTTTGATGTGGTTGTTGCTTGTGTTTCTGGTTTTTAGCCGTGCCCTAATGATGAGTGTGTTTCAAAATGAGGGAACGGTGTGGGACCCAATCCCCTTTTCCCGTTACAAAAAGTCTGGTTTCCTTCTGGCTTCGCGATCTACAACAAGAAAAACTGAGTGTTTACTTTCGAAACCCGTTACCACAAAATCTGTGGTGGCCTTTGATTTTCCTTTAAAACCACAAACAAAAAGGGTAATTTGTCAAATCCAGATCAGCAGGTTCTCGCCTTGTTGAACATGGACGCGAAGAGGGTGGCCCTAGGCGCAGGTCCGAAACCGTCGGAACCCAAAATCGCATAGGGACCAAAAATGGCAAATCCAGGGGTCCAGAGACCACGAACATCAACCAGTCCCTCATTTTGAGAAACCAACTGAGTCAGCAGTCTACCAAAAAGCAAAGAATCAGGGCGGATATCCGTGCCTAGTCATGCTTGGGACTGTCCACAAGCCTTAACTTACCCAAGTTTTCATTGTGCGCGACCATGCTGCCCTGCGTCATTTTGTTCAGTAAGCTTTTGGATTTTATGGAGTCTCCAAAACCCTCGCAGACTAGTCACATGACGAACTCTGCTTTGTTGACCCTTCTGTTTCAAGGGTCAGAAGACGACTCCGAATCGTTTTTCGTTTGCAGGTAGCAGGCCAAGTCGCTGTCAGCCACGTGCACTGGTTGCGAAACACGGCCCCCCAGAAAGCGAGCAGAACAAGGCGGTTCGCCTCTTCGTGAGCAAGCCATGGTATGCAGCACTGCCTGCTGATTGGAAACCTCCATTTTGCTCGTTTGCTCGTTGGTAAGCGGGCCCCTACATCCAGCCTTGCCGAATCAAATATCATGTTTGGCAAACGGAAATTCAGATGTCAGGGCCTGGGAAGTGGTAAACAGAAATCCGCCAAGCTCAAGGTCAACAATGGTGAGAGGAACAGCAAATCGCTTTCCCCAAGAATAACTTCGCCAATAAACTCATCCGCCTGGCAGAACAAGATTGAACATTTCGGCAGCCTTGGTGAAGGGGTCAGTCCTCAAAACTCGGGCCCAAACAATGTTGATGTTGGACATTTCAACGAGTAGGGAACTTAAACTACAGATCTATCACTTATCAAGTGTGTGCTGGTTTTACGTTAGGTTAGTATTGGCCTAGTAGTGGTTTTGTATTGGTTAAGCTTTGGTTGAGTATTGATTTAAGTGTCCCTAGTACGACTGGAATTGGGGCGGAAGGAATTTGCCGGGTGTTTGCTGACTCTGATCTCGCATTGGGAGATTTAGGCTCGGGAATAACATTCGTTGATGCGTGTATCACAGGGGAAGAGATATCCCGACAGCTCAGTTGCTTGGTTGCGTGGCAACAGAACTGGACTTTTGTGGTTGGAACCCACCAGGGTTCCAAAGGTTGACATTCACTGCCATTTTATGGGACCCAAGAGAACCCCGAAAGACCTCTTGCCGGAGAGTGGTTGGCCTTCCTGAGGGATCCCACCGGCTGAAGCTTTTGGTTTGGATTGTCTTACAAGACAAAGCTCCCAGACCTCCAAAGGAGTTGGCGGCAAGCTCTCCAAACCCAGAGCCTGGCTTCATTTTGGGGCGGCGAAGCCCCACTCGACCAAAACGTGGCTTGAAAAAGGCTCGCAAACCACGAATTGGTCTAATTGCAAAAAGGGATGCCCATCCCGCGAAAGGTGAAAGGTCAGCCGGAGAATCACCCAAGCCCACTGCTTCCAGGCAAGCCACTATAGGACTATTGGTAGCCACAATTTACTTTGACTGGCCTACCATGGTAACAAGGGTGTGCGCTTACTTTAAAGGTACCCTTTTGGGTGTGCTTTAAAGGGATGCAAAAGGAAAGCCGAAGCCATGTTTGGGGTGCTTTGTTTTGTACATGGAACCTGAAGTGCCAAACCGGCTGCGTGGGACCTTGTAGGCTCCCTTTAATCAGGGGTCTTTGCCAGTCCCTTTTGAACATGGCCCCAACAATTCTGGGTTGCTCTTCCCCGACGAGGTCCGACCTTTTGCTTTCGGTTTCTCCAAGAGGTCTAAGCCTCTAAGGGCTAAGGTCACCAGCTATAAGGGAATATTCAACCACCCAAGAAAAATACAAGGGCTCTCCTGTTTGTGGGACTAGTACTATGGCCCAGGCTTCTTCTTTGGCGACTCGTCCGCGGCCATGCTCTTCGGAGTTTTATCTCCTGCCTTAGGAGGAAAGTGCCTAAATTGGTCAGCTTGGACGTGGAAAGCCTGCCAACACAGAGTGGGCGCTTGGTAATAGTCTTGACACGCAACCGACATCAGCTTACAAGTTAGAATGCAATATGGAGGGAGGGTCCAAACCTAACTAAAACACAACAGATCCCCAGTGTCCAACCCTCTAAATTGTGTGAAGAAAGGGGACTTGAGCAACCAGCACGGGGCGGATGTAGCAAATGTGTGTGTGTGTGTGTGCGTGTGGTGTGGTTGTTTGTGTTTGTATGTATGTTTGCTTGTTTGCTTGTTTGTTTGTTGGTTGGCTTGCTTGCTTGTTTGCTTGTTTGATTGTTTTGCTTGTTAGTTTGCTTGGTTGATGCTCTGTTTGCTTATTTGTTTGTTTGATTGTTTGGTTGCTTGTGTCTGTGTCTGTGTCTGTCTGGCTGTGGCTGTCTCTCTGTCTCTCTCTCTCTCTCTGTGTCTCGCTCTTTTCTTGTATGTGTCTGTCTGTGTGTGTTCGTGAGTGTCTCTGTGTATAGTCTCTCTGTGTATGTGCGCGTGTCTGTGTCGGTGTCGGCGTCTGTGTCGGCGTGTGTTCTTGAGCATTTTTAGGTTGGCTTACCAAAAGGAAAGTCACCATTTCCGGGGTCCCCGATTTTGACACGCACCCAATTTCCAAACAACGACCCGTTGAATGTCCAACCCACTTATGAAGACAGCTCACCACTCAATTTACAAACTACAAACAAGGCCCCCTAAAGGGACAAGCCACGACGGGTTTTCCCTAGTAAGGCCTTACATTCTGCATAGCAAGGCGGCGTTGCACCCACCCCCCGTAAAAAGGTTAGTTGTTGTTTTTCTCGCATGTGGGGCTGGACCGGGGCAATTGAAGAGCAAGGTGGGCTTCTTTAGCGGTTGTCCTGTTGGATGCGTGGCCAATCTGTTTTACAAGCTTAAGGTGACAGCAATTCCCTTTTCAGAAAGCAAAAGGGTTGAAGACCATACTTGAGTGGGTTTTCGCCACGTGTGCCACAAAGCCTGCAACCAAGTGGCTTACAGTCAGTTGCTAGGGCCGAATATCAAAGCAGGGTGCCTCTTTTGCAACATGTCACGTCGGGCCTTGAGACTGTGAGCCTAACATCCAAAGGGGGAGGTTCCGCTGTCTTAACTAAGAGCAATGATGTGGCTCAAAAGTAACAAATCTAGTAGCCTGTGTTCAAATATGCCAAGGTGCCATTTTGGGTATTCCGCTTTTTGACTTAGCCATTTGGGACTTCTATTCCCAACCAGCCATGGGAGAAAGGGCTCTCACCCACTGAAGATCTGGATGTTTTCCGGGTTGCTGCATCATTCACAAGCCTGAAGCTTAAGTACTTCCATTTGATTCACAATGCTAATTACGCTCCCTGTTGGCTTAAAAGGACATCTATCGCTATATCAACTGGAAATGTGTTGATGAATATTCCATGAAACTTCAGCAACTGGTTGAGTACGCAAACCAATCGAGAACGAGCCCGTCATGAGAGAAAACGATTCCGGTGAGGTCTTTATTTGCCCAGCTTTGTTCATGAAGGAAAGCGTTCACGCAAGACACCTAGTTGTAACCAGTGACCCGTGTGGTAGAACAGTAGTTGGAGCCGGTTGTGTTTGGCTAGCTATTTGCATGTTTGGTGGAGTCCGAATCTCAGATCCGCCAAACCATGATAAATGCTCAAAGGCCCGCAATCCGCTGAACGGAGCAGCCGAGAAGCGGTATCAGGCTGGTCGACCGCCTGCGTCTTAACCTTCTCCATGATAGAGTCACCTTCGGTTTTGCCCAAATTCTCAGTTGCCTATGGGATCCAGAAATCCGCCGACACCCCTGCCTGCAAGGGGAAGGCGCTGGGAGAGTGTTCGTTTAGCGTTGGAGCGTGACTGTGGCAGCCTTCTCCCTTCCCTTTCGCCCTCGCCCGTTCAGCCCTGTACCTTACCAGCCTTCTTTCTTTCCCTTTTTTCTTGTTCTTCTTCGTTTCTTTTCTTTCCTTTTCCTTTCTGCTGCCGGCGCACTCCTTTGGTTGGTGCTCGCTGTGGACAAACGAGTGCGGCCTGGAAAAGCGCGGGAAGCGAAGCTTTTGTCTCAAACGCGACGTTAGGCACCCGGCCGCGGCGGAGCAGGCTGCCGGCGCACTCCTTTGGTTCGTGCTCGCTGCGGCGAAGCGAGTGCGGCCTCCAAGAGCGCTGGACGCGAAGCTGTTCCTGCTGGTTGCGCCCTGGGGACCGATAGCTTTCTACTTTCTATATAGGATTCAAAAGTGACGTTCGGCACCCGGCCGCGGCGGAGCAGCCGCCCTTGGCAAGACGCACAGCAAACCCAAAGGGAGAAAGACCAGGGATAGGCAAACTGTATAGGATTCAAAAGTGACGTTCGGCATCCGGCCGCGCCGAAACAGCCGCCCTTGGCAAGACGCACAGCAAACCCAAAGGGAGAAAGACCGCACATGGGCATGGACAGGCCGGGGATTGAACCCGGCCTCTCGCATGCTGAGCGGGTGTGATGCCACTACACCAACTGCCCCTGAGCTGAGGAGGCCGAGAGTGCTCAACTACCTGCTGGGCACAGCTTTCAGCGCTGAAGCTCTGTCACGGCCAGCCCGTTCGGCCTGTTTTCTTCCTATCTGCTGCCGGCGCGCTCCTTTGGTTGGTGCTCGTTGTGGGCAAACGAGTGCGGCCTGGAAAAGCGCTCAAGCACCTGCAGGGCACAGTTTTCAGCGCTGAAGCTCTGTCACGGCCCGCCCGTCCGGCCGTGTTTCTTCCTTTCTGCTGCCGGCGCACTCTTTTGGTTGGTGCTCGCTGTGGCCGCCCGTTCGGCCTCTTTTCTTCCTTTCTGCTGCCGGCGCACTCCTTTGGCTTCATTCCTTTTCCTTTCTGCTGCCGGCGCGCTCCTTTGGTTGGTGCTCGCTGTGGACAAACGAGTGCGGCCTGGAAAAGCGTGGGAAGCGAAGCTTTTGTGGCTGGCCGCTCCCTCTGGACCGATAGCCTTACTGCATATTGGACTCAAACGCGACGTTAGGCACCCGGCCGCGGCGGAGCAGGCTGCCGGCGCACTCCTTTGGTTCGCGCTCGCTGCGGCGAAGCGAGTGCGGCCTCCAAGCGCGCTGGACGCGAAGCTGTTCTTGCTGGCTGCGCCCTGGGGACCGATAGCTTTCTACTTTCTATATAGGATTCAAAAGTGAGCAGCCGCCCTTGGCAAGACGCACAGCAATCCCAAAGGGAGAAAGACCAGGGATAGGCAAACTGTGACAGACGCAGGCGCGCATGGGCATGGACAGGCCGGGGATTGAACGCGGCCCCTCTCGCATGCTGAGCGGGTGTGATGCCACTACACCAACTGCCCCTGAGCTGAGGAGGCCGAGAGTGCTCCACTACCTGCCGGGCACAGCTTTCAGCGCTGAAGCTCTGTCATGGCCAGCCCGTCTGGCGCACTCCTTTGGTTGGTGCTCAAACGAGTGCGGCCTGGAAAAGCGCTGAAGCACCTGCAGGGCACAGTTTTCAGCGCTGAAGCTCTGTCACGGCCCACCCGTCCGGCCTTTTTTCTTCCTTTCTGCTGCCGGCGCACTCCTTTGGTTGGTGCTCGCTGTGCGCAAACGAGTGCGGGCCCGCCCGTTCGGCCCCTTTTCTTCCCGGGAGGGGTTGGTGGCACATCGCCGAAGGCCTAGGCCCGCAGGGCCTACCTTCAGGTATAAGGCCGTCCGCCCCATGCCGCCGACCACGTGCCGAACTTTTGCGCTGCGCCAAGCTGGGCCCACCCTTATAAGAGGCGAAGGATTTGCGGATTTGTTCAGGCATTTTTTGGCGGCTTTTTGAACATCTCCCCGCGGAGTCAAAAAACGAGTGTTTTTTGGGGGGGTGCCCATAGTGGACAACATCCCCGGCATCACCTGCATCATCCGCATCCTTGGCGGACATTGATGCGGATGATGCCGGTGATGCGGGGGATGCTGGGGATGTTGTCCCTTAAAATCTTAAAGTGGATGGAAAATGGATGGAAAATGGCCTGGATTGAAATCTCAAAATCCTAAAGTCTTAGATTCTTAAAATCTTAAATTAAAATCTAACAGTCAATCTTAGAATCTCGAGATCTTAAAATCTTAAAATCTTAAAGTGGATGGAAAATGGATGGAAAATGGCCTGGATTGAAATCTCAAAATCCTAAAGCTTAAAATCTGAAAATATAAAAACATCCTAAAGTCTCGGGGGATGCTGGGGATGTTGTCCCCTAAGTCGGGCCAACTTTGCCGAAAACGTGCAACCTGAAAATCTTAAAATCTTAAAGTGGATGGAAAATGGATGGAAAATGGCCTGGATTGAAATCTCAAAATCCTAAAGTCTTAGATTCTTAAAATCTTAAATTAAAATCTAACAATCAATCTTAGAATCTCGAGATCTTAAAATCTTCGAACTTAGAATCTTAAAATCTGAAAATATAAAAACATCCTAAAGTGGTCGAATCTTGAAATCTTAAAACCCTTATGTGATAGAATCTTGCGATCTTAAACTCTTAAAATATGAAATTCCTACAGTCTTAAACTCTTACTCTTGAAATTTGGAAATCTTGAAACCTCAAGATCTTAAACTTACAACCTTAGAAGATCGAATCTTACAATCTGAAAATATAAACATCCTAAAGTCTTCGAATCTTGACTTCTTAAAACCCGAATATCTTTGAATCTTCAGATGTTAAAATCTAAAAATATGAACTTCCTAATTCTCAAAGTCTTAAAATCTCAGAATCTGAAAAGCTTTCAAAACTTAAATTCTTTAAATCTCGAACTATTGCAATCTGAAAATCTTAACTTCATAAACAAGTAAAATATAATAAAGTTCCTTCAATCCGGGCTATATTTTAAATTCCTTAAACTCATAATCTTGAAACTTTGAAGCCTTGAAATCTTGAGATCTTAAAATCTTAAATTCCGAAAGTCTCCAATCTGAAAATCTCCGAAAAATAAAATCTTAAAGCCTTCGAAATCTGATAATAGATGGAAAATGGCTGGGCAATGGCCTGGCTGTTATAACCTTCACAAACTTTAAATATTTTGAATCTTAAAACCTTAATTCTTAAACCATTGAAACCTTAAATTCCGACAGTCTTCAAATCTGAGACCCTTAGAAGCTCAAAGTTTTTAGAATCTGAAAATCTTAACATCTACTAATCGGACTTACAGGAAAGGGAAGTGACAGAACAAGCAGGGCAAGGTGCCCGGTGGCCGGCTGTGTCGCGTCAGCGTGTAAATCCGGCCACCGGACGTGATCGGGCCGCAGGCCAAAGCCCGCAGGGCTTACCTTCAGGTATAAGGCCGCGCGCCCCATGCCGCCGACCATGCGCCGACCATGAGCAGAACATGAGCAGAACTTTTGCGCTGCGCCAAGCCTGCTAAGGGGCGAAGGATTTGCGGATTTGTTCAGGCGGAGTCAAAAAACGAGTGTTTTCTGGGGGTGCCCATAGTGGACAACATCCCCGGCATCACCTGCATCATCCGCATCCTTGGCGGACATTGATGCGGATGATGCCGGTGATGCGGGGGATGCTGGGGATGTTGTGCCCTAACTTTGCCGAAAACGTGCAACCTGAAAATCTTAAAATCTTAAAGTGGATGGAAAATGGATGGAAAATGGCCTGGATTGAAATCTCAAAATCCTAAAGTCTTAGATTCTTAAAATCTTAAATTAAAATCTAACAATCAATCTTAGAATCTCGAGATCTTAAAATCTTCGAACTTAGAATCTTAAAATCTGAAAATATAAAAACATCCTAAAGTCTCGGGGGATGCTGGGGATGTTGTCCCCTAAGTCGGGCCAACTTTGCCGAAAACGTGCAACCTGAAAATCTTAAAATCTTAAAGTGGATGGAAAATGGATGGAAAATGGCCTGGATTGAAATCTCAAAATCCTAAAGCTTAAAATCTGAAAATATAAAAACATCCTAAAGTCTCGGGGGATGCTGGGGATGTTGTCCCCTAAGTCGGGCCAACTTTGCCGAAAACGTGCAACCTGAAAATCTTAAAATCTTAAAGTGGATGGAAAATGGATGGAAAATGGCCTGGATTGAAATCTCAAAATCCTAAAGTCTTAGATTCTTAAAATCTTAAATTAAAATCTAACAATCAATCTTAGAATCTCGAGATCTTAAAATCTTCGAACTTAGAATCTTAAAATCTGAAAATATAAAAACATCCTAAAGTCTTCGAATCTTGAAATCTTAAAACCCTTATGTCTTAGAATCTTGCGATCTTAAACTCTTAAAATATGAAATTCCTACAGTCTTAAACTCTTACTCTTGAAATTTGGAAATCTTGAAACCTCAAGATCTTAAACTTACAACCTTAGAAGATCGAATCTTACAATCTGAAAATATAAACATCCTAAAGTCTTCGAATCTTGACTTCTTAAAACCCGAATATCTTTGAATCTTCAGATGTTAAAATCTAAAAATATGAACTTCCTAAATTCTCAAAGTCTTAAAATCTCAGAATCTGAAAAGCTTTCAAAACTTAAATTCTTTAAATCTCGAACTATTGCAATCTGAAAATCTTAACTTCATAAACAAGTAAAATATAATAAAATTCCTTCAATCCGGGCTATATTTTAAATTCCTTAAACTCTTAATCTTGAAACTTTGAAGCCTTGAAATCTTGAGATCTTAAAATCTTAAATTCCGAAAGTCGCCAAATCTGAAAATCTCCGAAAAATAAAATCTTAAAGCCTTCGAAATCTGATAATAGATGGAAAATGGCTGGGCAATGGCC